CTTTGGATGTGATTGGTCTAGCCTTCAGTCGGCGTAAGGACCTGTAGTTAGCTTCAACTCTTGGCTCCTTCGATTTTCGGTCTATTCGATGCTTTGACGAATAGCCGAAGTTCTTCCGGCGCTGCGTTTATCGCTTGTCCGTCGTCGGAGTCTTGAGTCTGCAGCTGATGAACTGAGTTTGGCTCGTGTTATTGAGTTGACTTTGAACTACCTCCGTCACATTGTGTTGACTTAGGGTTTCGGATCACACTATGTTGACTCTGGTTGCAACGCGTTGACTGGCGTTGACCTAGGGTTACGCGTTGACCGGCGTTGACCTTAGGGTTTCGAATCATCAAATGTTGACTTTGGTCGCAACGCGTTGACTAGCGTTGACCTAGGGTTACGCGTTGACCGGCGTTGACCCTAGGGTTTCGAATCGTCAAACGTTGACTTTGGTCGCAACGCGTTGACTGGCGTTGACCTAGGGTTACGCGTTGACCGGCGTTGACCCTTAGGGTTTTGAATCGTCAAGCGTTGACTTTTGTTGCAACGCATTGACTGGCGTTGACCTAGGGTTGCGCGTTGACCGACGTTTGTTCGCGGTGAAAATCGTTGCTTTCTTCATCATTGATTCTATTGCAAATTCTTGTAATAGTTTATCGATTACAAAGATCCGGTCTTTTTTAGATCCGGTTACAACGAAAATCAAATAACACAAGAAATAAAGAAAATTACAACTTTCTCCTTATTTGTCGAACGAATCGCAAGATCCTGTTTTGCGGTCTCTTGCTTGTGTGGGTTCTTTGCCGACGCCGGGGTTAATCCGTGGACCACCGCGCGATCTAGATCCGGTCGGATCTACACGATTTGACGGGTATTATTCCGCAAAGGGAATAATAGCCGGGGAGGATTAGTTCACCAAGGAAATAATCGTCCAAATCTCGGGATCAAAGGCCAAGCTTTGATCCGGAGTATGATCTCGTGTAGATCTCAGATCTGATCTCTCTCTCTCTCGAACTCCTGCCTTTTGTGACGTGGACGCTCGCC